AACATAGAACACAGCGCTAATGTGGTACAGGCTCACCGGGTCTGCTAAAATTAGTTAGTCCACCTACGTTTTTCAAAGATTGCACTGGCTAGCTTTTGCAGAGGATCAGGTATCATCTCTCGCCCTGCGATTTGTGTAAAATCAGGATCACCTCCCTGTTGCACACTAGATAATTTGACAAGAACATGTTTTTGTGCCCACACACGATCCAGATGAAATTTTTGCTGCAGGGTGATTTGCTGATGCACAGAGCCAGTATGAATGATTATGGAAAGAGGGCCTGTGTTTTAATGATAAATTTCATATTTTCTTCTGCACTGCAATGAAAAAAAAAGCAAGATTCTGAGAAGAAAACGTATGGGAAACATGAGAAGAACCTGATTATGCATTGATAAGCATGCTGTCAGGCACCCCAGAAATTACTTCTGCCTGAGGCTGTGCAAATAACTAATTCTTCAGTTTGGTTGCTGAACTGGAAGAAAAAAACCCCAGCAACCTGTTATCCATTACCAAAATGAAAGTCCAACATGGATTGCTTTATTCAAACATAATGTATTTTTTTCCTTTTTTTCATAAATGCTTGAAATTAAACATAACGGACAAAACCACTGGAGGGTTGCTACGGGTGTCATCCTTTTACCCAAAGGTACAGGAGGTAGTACACATATCCAAAATGTATAATATCTACATTAAATTGTTTTGAAGGGGGATCTGAACCCAGCAGGGAATTTGAACCCAAAACACCCTAAGCAGCAGTTCAAAGTATTCTGCACTGAGACTCGTGGTATCTTTTGCTGAAACCATTTCATTTTCCATGAAAAGTTATTAATCAAATCTCTGACTCAGTGATGTCCCAGTTACTATACACAATGTTAAGGATATTGCCCTAAAATGCAGCAGACACTTGGAATGCATACACATACACACACAGACGTTTGTATGCACAATTCAGCATAGCATAAAGAGAATTTAGCGAGCTTCAAATGATCTGGTGAACATGTACGGAAGCACTGCAAAGCAACACTGAGGTGCTAGTCTATCTATCTCCCAGAACCAGCATTACTGCAGTGTAAGTACTAGCAAAGAGAACCACCCTACCTCTCAGCAAAACTAATTAGACTAGCTGGAGTGCCATGCTTCTGGCCCTGAAGCTAGCCACAGAGCTGGCTGTCTCAGCCCAGTGCTTCCTAACTCCTTGTAGTTTTTAGTGCTTCCTTCAGCGTCTTACGTTAAAGCCTGTAACAAACTTAAATTTCATGCACTGTAGTGGAGTACACAACTATTTCATGAAAGATGGATGCCACCACTAAATAAATTTCTCCAGTCCCAGTGGTCTGACAAACTAAATGTGAATTCATGAATAGTTTTTAAGATAGCCAATCCCCCATTCTGGAGACTTGGCTATTCTCCAGTTGTTTTCCCACCATCATGTTCTAATTGTGAGCAAGTACAAAAGTAACATTTAGGAGGGAAGGAAAGATCTAAACAAGTTGCTTGAAAGATGCTCTTTATTTTGCAAACGTATTTGCATGTAATTATGCAATTAAAAAACAGTGAAGACATCTAAACTGTTTTTGTGGGTTTTGGAGGTTTGCATGAAGTCAAACATTTTTCCATCCTTCCTCATACGAAAATAACAGGCACTTTTCACCCTGTGCTGCAGCAAGTGCATTTCACTGATGGAAATTATATGCTTCATCTCCAAATCCAATGCATGAATACGCATAAAAATATTCTTATTGTTGGGGGGGGAAACATGAGTAAGATCTGTTAAAAAGTTGGCAAGATTGGGGTAGGAAATAGCTTCCACACATCAGGAGACTAAACAGGCTACAATTCTTCAGATTGGAAAGAGAGATGAGCAGGGTTATGAGAGAAGTCTACAGTGTTGTGAGTGGCATGGAAAAGGTTACTGTAGAATGATTACTCATTATTTATCACAAAACAAGACCTAGACAGCACCCAATCAAGTCATCAGACAACAAGTCTAAGACAAATAAAAGGAAGTTCTGTTTCACAGAGTGCATAATTAGAGTTAAATGCACCATCACAAAACTGTGGGGAGGATAAAACTATACACACGCTGAAAGAGAGACTAGAAAAATGGAAAATGGGAGTCTACAGTGGCCCAGTTGCACTTCAAATTAAGATGGCCTCAGAATTACAATGCTAGCACTTCCTTGGAGCATGGCACCACTTCAGGAGCTGCCACACTGGGAATTTAATACATGGTGAGCCACAACTTTCTTACTGATTTCCTCTGAATCAGATGGCAAGCAGCCTCAATCAGCAGCAGATTACTTCTTTCTCTACACTGAACGTATCCCCCATTCCCCATCCCTGCTTGCTCCTTGCTTGCTCACTTGGGAAGGGGTGAAGCACTGCCTGGAGGCTGCTCTCAGTATCAGTAGGGACATCTAATGCTGGGAGTCCTCCAGGGAGCAGGGTGACAATGCCTTGCTTGCTGTATCGACAAAGGATGATTTGGAATTAATGAAGTGGATGCAGAGGGATGGTGCAATGGGAGTAAAGGGGAAGTGCTCAGGTGCTGTGACTGAGCAGGAACAGAACAAGCGCAGTTCCAGGGAACAGGACCCACCTCACAATATTTATTCTTAACTGCTTGTTCTGCAGAGGATGGTCTTGCTGCTGAGATTTATAAACAATGAGAGAAGCAGCTTATCCTGAGTGAATTATTATAATTATTCGCTCATGGTCTAAAACTTATTTGGTTCTTGGCCTTCCCTTCTGGTGTTACTCTGGAATTGTAGTCTAACATTCAGCAACGTAACAAATGGATGATGCCACCATCGAGGCCTGTTATTTGTTGTGACCACAGTGAACAGATAACAGTGTGAACATTAAACTGAATTTTAAAATAAACAGTCCGTCTGCTCCCCTTCTCCCCAGCAACACTTTCAAAGCCTACTTGCAAACTCCTGCATGATGACTCCAAAAATGCTACAACACGAGATCTTTGCTCTTGCTCATAAAAATAGATTTATGAAAATTATCACGTGGAACTATTACTACAAATGCATTCCATATGAGGAGAATCACTGTAAGTAGGACACAGAGGAAGAAATCTCACTTACAGTTTCAGCTGTGGTATCTGTCTCACACAGTCAACACTTTTAACTCCAGAAGGCTGTGTATGTTCAAAAGCCAAGAGCATGTTCTTTCCTTTCCTGTTAGAGACTTGCACAGAAATACCAGGGAAAGGTTTTACCATTTTGGATTACAATTCTCAATGTAAAAGGGCTACGGTATTTAGGTCAGAGCATTTGAATGAGACAAGAAAGTCTGATGAAAAAATTCAGTCCTTTTTAACATGTAATGTTGGTACTTCAGAGAACAAAAATACAGGAATGATCACAAAAATTGAACTGGGTCAGCAATGTCTCTTTTCCTCTCAAACACTCTTGAGCGTTGCCAGCTGGAAACTTGTGCTACGTTATGCCACAGCAACTGCAGAATAATTTTGTAGCCAGTACTCATGTCTTAATTATCACCCTGGTTTTAGAGGTATTCTAATGTAGTGTGAGAGCAGCCACAGAAAGTATTTGGGAGGTACTTTTGACAGCTAATTATCATATTTCACCACTGTATTGAGTTTTACACTGTGTTGCATAAAGTTAATTTCACAAGTGTCGGAGAAAAGTGTATTCTCTTCACTGACCTGTATACTGCATTGGAAAAACATTTGCAGGATTCTCTAGGTATACCATCAATAATGGTACGTATGTGTAATGTTTTTGCTTTCTTGTGTTTCTATATGCATGGATAAAATATAAAATAAGACAGATTGCTAATGTGCTAAATAGAGAAACACAAAAATCAGTATTATTTTCATGTTGGATCCCAGAAGCAGGTTTTCAAAGGCACAAATGGCAGGGTTGCCTAAACCCCATAGAAATTCACTTATGACACATTTATGCCTTTGAAAATCTGCAGCTTTGGATTACAAAAGACCAGAATCAAACCTAAAGGCTTTGATCCTAATACCATTTTTACAAAGCCAGCAAAGATATGCAGTTGTTCAAAGAAGACGTCTACTTATTGCAGAGTATGTTCAGGTCATAAAAATGTATTCAGTCAATTCATAACAGAAAGTACTTAAGGACCTGTGTTATTTCACACATAGGAATAGACTTGCTAGAGAAACTGCAAGTGAAGGGAAGTAAAAGTGTGCGAGGTACACCGATACCTTGTATAGCAAGGTTTGAATACCACTTAAGTTCTTTATTGGCATAAGTTACCATCATTCCACAGAGGTCAATGGAGTTATATCCATGTATTCCAGCGTGGCCCTCTACTACCACCTAGACAGAAAGAAAAATCTAGTCCAAATTTTACAGATGAACAGACCTTAGTAGGTTTAAGATTCAGACCTGTGAGTAACAACAGCAAGCTCCACAATATAGTGGTTTTTCTCATTGTTTCCAAATCTGCTTGGAAGATTGATTGATAAAATTGTGTGAAATAAACCATCAAACTACTAAGGTGGCTTTTGAGAAAAGGAATAGATTGTTATCACAGTTATTCATGTATATCAGTGCAGTCCCTTCTCCCCAAAATGTAGACTTTTGTTTATAGGTGTCATGAATGCAAACAGGTTATAGCACATACAGCCAGAAGAGAAGTATTTACAGCATATCTAACCCAAAAACATCCACGCAGAAAAAAACCCGGGATCTTAGATTGCAACAGTATGTTAGCTTCGCCTCAGCCCTAAAATACATCCCCTCTGGTGCTGCAGCTGACAGTAGCCACGGGGTCAGCCTGCACCTTCTGTGTGAGCTGCAGATGAAGAGCGAAGAGTGTGCATGCACTGGGGAGGAAGAGCTGAAGCAGGTGGCGGGAGGCAGCACCCTTCCTTTGCAATGGAAACACACACATGCCTTCTCATGCACGCAGCAGCAATGTCCTGACCTGTGGTTCACATAACTACAGTCATCTCAGAAGAAACAGAGAAATAGAAGTAAGGCTTAGAAACTGACCTGTTTTTCATTTTCATCCTCCAGCCTCAGCCTGTCCTCAATGCAGTTCCTGGCCTGAAGGAATGCCTTCCTCTGAGCCCTTTCTGTCAAAATCCTCACAAAGACCCCATACAAATTTACACTGACAAAAAGGATTGCATTGGCCACAAGCTGTAAAAAAGAAAGAAAAATAAATTAATATTTTAAAATACAGATTTTTATTTTACATTTCTACTCAGCAAAATTAAAAAAAAAAGGCAAAAAAAAAAAAGCACTGTCTTTAAAAATTATGCCTCACTAGCCATGTCACTGATACCCCTTCCCACAAACCAACTGCAGTGAAACAATTATAGCAGCTACCACATGTCCGGGCAAGCAATATTGCATAATACAGAACTTTGCATCTGCTGAAGTTAATTTCTCTTACGATGATCTGTAGCTTATCACTTTCATTCAGCATCAGTTCTTTCATCAGCCCATTGGCAGATCTGTCCATCTAATAAGGAGAGCAGTATCTTCAGCATTTGTTCAACTGCGAGGTGCCCAGAAAACCAAAATTATTTTCCTATGCCTTCGTAAAGTTGGAATATTATTGTCCCTTTTTTTTATAGTTGAGAAGCAAGGCATTGACAAAATCTGTGACTAAATCAAAATGTGTGCCTGGGTACCCCAAGCTTTCATATTATGCCGTTTACACTTGGAAAATCTGCTTCTCTTCCCATATCTATACTATTAGCGACCATACTGTATTTTTTGAGAAATCATCCAAAATATTGTTGATACTATCCTGCAGCAGATCTCTCAGAAGGTGCTGAGTGCTTTCAAATGATGGCCCTTGGCACAAACCAAGCCCCACTGCAGTGTTATAAGGAGACACAATGAATTACTTTGGAATTACTTCTATGAACAGTGCTTTAATGAAGGACACATAAATGACCCAATTGCCCTTCTGGTTCTTTTTAATGTTTTTACAATATGTGATAAAGTTAGCTACCTAACCGAAATAACTTGACAGTGGCTTGCACACAACCTCCCTATCTAAGACACCTCACTGACGTCTGAAATGTCTTCAGATGTTAAATTCTGCAATGGAATGCAGCGTTTGTTTAGAAAGGAAGCAATAAGGCCTGTTTACCCAGTATCTTTTCAGTCTCATTCTCCATATTTACTCTAGTTACTACCACAGCATCATGATAAGGATTCACGGGACTCATAAATTCCAAAATTTCAGAAATCAGCTGGCACAAAAATTGGCCAACAATGGGTATAATAAGAGCAAAGAAAGAAGTTACAGCAAGTAACACAATTCATGTTAAATTCCTGTGCACCTAAAATAGTTCATAAAGACCATATAACTGACATTTATTTCTTAATTCAAGGTATACATTTCAAGCTAGTACATCTCTACTGTTGCAAGATCTGCTAGTGTAAATCGGAGACCACTGCCCTTGTTTGCACTACATAATGAGTCCAGCTGTACCAACAACACAAATTTAAAAAAAAAAAAACCAAAAAACACTGACATTGTTGTAGAGGATGCTTACTAACAGGACTAGGGTTGAAGGCTTGAATTCAGCCAGTATGGTAAGCAAAGATCCAAAATGACATCCAGAAACTCCCTGCTGATTTTGGAGAGCTTTGGGGAAATGTTTCACCCTACAAAAATAAGAAGGAAGTTTCTGATGTGTCTAACTAATGGCAATATGCATCTCCGTCTCCTGTGATCTCAGTATAGTGGGGAGAATTCAAAGATTCATTCTGGGTGGGTTCTCCAGACCTTCACGGATTCACAAGTCCTCTAACTTTCACCTTCATACCTGGTTGTTATTAGTTAACAGGACATCAACAACAACTTCCCTGCAAACATTCTCACCAGTGCAAAATCAAAAGATACCCTGTGACAATAAAGGGAGCTGTGCCTAGCATAAGTGTTTTCTTTCTCCTCAGATACCCAAAAAGAAACAGTTATCTCACAAGAGCTAACACTAGTGAAGAATGGTGTTGCGGCTTCCTCCTCAGAACTCCAAAATGCAGGTTCAGGTGTCATCAGCCAGAAGAATTTCAACCTAAGACTCTCCTATACCAGTTACTCACATGTCACTTCTCAGAGATGGTAATACAGATGGTAAAACTTTGAAGATGAAAAGCAGTACATGAGCATATAATTTCATGATACAGGCTGAGCATAAACAGTCTGCAATTCCTATCCTGCTTTATTTTGCTTCATCATAGAGAACAGTTTGAGGTATACCAATTTTCAGCACAAGTTAAAGCCTACTAAAATGAAATTACTGTAGCAATTCCAGTGGAATCCTATTTTTAGAGACATGAATGCAGCCACACACACCTTATCCCTGCATTTTATCATGCTGAAGTATAGTGACAACAGTGTATTTTAAAGGTAATTCTTAGAAGTGCAATGGAATAAAAATAGAAAGGATTTGTAAAGGCCGTATTCAAAGGCAGTAGAGAGAGCCCACAAAATAAACAGTCAAGACAGTTACAGACAGTCCAAATGCTTGACCTTGTCCATATACAAAACAGCTGTTAATAACACAGGGTGAAAAACTAATACTATCTTTATGCACTGATATCAGAGTGGCACAAGACATAAATAATCACTTCTAGAGAAAATAAAAAAGAGCCAACTCAGTTTCTGGTCTTCAACTGGAAGCAGTAAAAGACCATATATTGTAACAATCTGCCAGCTGTTCTGGGACTATCGTTACAATTTCACTTAAGTAACGATGATCACCTGGACTGAGGGTAACCAGTAGGTGGGTTCCTGCAATCATGCAGCCACTTTCAGACTCAGCAGGGTAAGTAATTTTCCGACATGCTTTGAACAGTTTAAGATAAAACAGAGGCTTAGCTGTCAGCTCTGGCCTGCAGGGAATCAGGAAAAGTGATAAAGCAAGTAAAAGATTCATACATTTCAAAATGTGAGAAAAGAAAGTAGGGCAGGTTGTCTCCTGAGGTAAGAGTTCCTTCCCTCCACAACCTGCTTTCTGCTTAATTACTATTTTTTCCCCAGTTGCAAACTACATACATCCCTCTTTCTAGGTTTCTCAAATGCATGCCATTTCCTGGACCCTTTCATTTTAATATGTAAGTATGTACCTCTCTATACACACATACATACATATATAACTTACACACATTACGTGCTGTAACTCCAGGAAAGACTGAGAGACTTGCTGTTAAAATTAAGCATCTTTGAAGAGGTACTGAGGCATCCAGAACTGCTGAAATATCAAGGAATTTAATTTAAAATCATTCCTACATCATTCACTATACTACTGCTTAGTAGCAAAAACAGTGCTCTTCAGGTTTCACCATTACCTTCTATTTACAGAACTACCAAAAGAAACAATTTACTTAATGCAACATGAAGTGACTCAAAGACATTTTTATGCTGCAACCTCTTTCAAACAATGTTATTCTTTCATTCCATAATGAGATTACAGGTCAGCCAGAATAAAAAAAAGGCATCAGGGTCATGAAAGCCTTTTTTTAATTTTTTTTTTTTTAATTTATTTATTGTTGTCACTGAATCTTATATTGTGCATTCTGCATACCTGCTGCACTTCAGTATCAACATCCTGAGCTTGTCTAGTCCTCAGTAGGGTACACTTTCTATCACTGGATGAACTCTGGCATGGTTCCTCGTGCTGGCTCTAGAGGGTGTTACCAAAGGCAGACTTCCAACACAGAGAGCTAGTTCTTGTGGGCTGCCTAGTCAGTGAAGAGGGACTGGCAGCACCAGCAGGTATTTCAACCAAATTTCTGTCTCTCCTGTTTTTTTTCTCCATTGACTTTCTTGGGTCTCAAGTTAGTTTTGGTAGGGAACTCAAATTGTGCAATACAGCAATGCCCATCAAGGAGTGAGCAAATAATTATGGAGGTAAGAAGCATGTAACATGCACACACATACACAGGGCTTGAAGAGTTCAATTAAAGATCTCCTTCCCCCCCCCCCCCAGAATGATCAGCCACTTCGTGAGTGTCCCTTGGGATTAGTTGAGAGACTCTTTGAAGAGTCTCTTGAAACTTTTCTCTCTATTCCAGATAGGTTTTATTCTCCACTTCTTTTTCCTTCAAAGTAAGAATCCTCATGTGCGCATCCATGCATGCACTTGCTTTCTCTCAAATAAATGGTGAAAAATTATTCTACATGTTATTATTTGCCTTTTGAGAGGACTGCTTACTCAGCAGACTAATTCTGCTATCAGGTAAACAGTTGCATAGTAGATGGTTCAAACCTGAGGCTGATTTTCATTGTGGAGTAGCTTTCTGTTTGTCTGACAAAATTGCCTCGTAGAAAAATGTGGCTATTTCATAAAGGTGTAAATGTCTTCTGGATCACTCGAAGACTTTTTTATAAAGTGGCATTCATGTGGATGGATATTGAAAAACCCAACTGAAGTAGACTAAATGAGAAATATAAATTACCAGAGAAGAAAAATTCACGAAACTTCCTCAGAACTTCATTGTGCTTTCTAAAAGCTGGGATTGTGGTGTGAATGGGACTGAGACGGGATTTCAATAGTTACCACTCCCAGGATTATAATTTAGTGGCTAATATCAATATTCGATTTATTCTCAGAAGCATGAGTTCTCACGATATCCCATGAAGTAGAGAAGAGTGGAATATGTAGGAATGTGGCGAGCATCTCCAGGTGAAGGTTGAAATTTGCAGAAAAGACAAGACCAATGCGGTTTGTCTTAACCCTCAGATACCTGATAAGGTGAGAGGTATGCAGGGCCTGAATTCTACTTCCAGTTTTCTCTATTAATTGAATTTTACTGCAAGTAACTTCTGTGCCACTATTGTTGTTCCTGTTATGCAGACAATGTAACATTTACTCATTCTGTCAAAATACTTTGAGATATGGCAATGAAATGCATTATTGTAAAATATGAATGTCTATTGTGAGGCATGCCTCTAAGGAAAGAGTCATAAACAGCTTACCGAAAGTCAGTGCTTCCACCATTAAAACCCTTGAAGAGCAAGGCAAGGGGTTTATGAAAATCGTTGATATCATGAACAAGACCTTTTACAAGTTTAAAAAAAAATCATTTCTCTTTTTCTTGTTATTGAAAATGTTACCATTAGAGCAGTGCTTTATTTACAGCGCAAGACTGCATAAAAGAGAATGCACAACTGCCTCTTGATCCTGACATGGTTTTGTTAAGTTTAGTAATTCACTTAACTCACTTTGCAACCTTTTGAGAACACTTAATTACTACATCTGCTCCCTCCGTTTGCTGAAGTGGCATAACACAGGATCAGAGAACATCTCCTTAGTTCCTGACTGCATCCCAAAAAGCACACCCTCCTACCAGAGAAGACAGCCAAACAAATTTTCGCATTTTGAATAAACGTCCCTCTCTTATTTTTGTTAAGTTTTTGTCCTAACTGGTTTATGCCACATACTAAGAAAATATTGTTCTGCCGTGCTATTCTCCATGGTTTCTGTCTTCATTCGCACCGCT